ATCGGGAACGAAAGAAGAGAAATCAAAATGGAGGAAGTCTCTTGATACAGTTAGATAGAATGAAAGGTGTCATGTAGAACGTATTACAGAGTTGGTCAATTTACAATTGGAGACGCTCGCGCACTCCTTCCTCGTCCTTCAATGGTATGTCGAGGTCTGTGGGTGCGACGATTTTACGTCCAGTACATTATTGTCGACATGGCGGCGGCGCCACATCCGAGAAACGCGTACGTCAAAGCTCGCGTTTTGCCCGACTGGGCGAGGAATGTCGGGTTGTTGGTGTACTGGTTGGCGAGGAGTTCGACGATGCCAGTGTAAATCAAAATGCCGGCTGCCACTGCATTCATGCAGCCTTGCACCCACAGCGCAGTCGACGAGGACGCCGCGTACGTCGTCGAGACACCAATACCGAGCACAATACCGAGCGGCGTCGCTACTGCAAAGCCAAGTACAGTCCAGAGCGTGGTCTTGAGCTCTTCAAACGCAACAAGCGCCGAGGACCCGACCGCAACACCTTCAAAGAACTGGTGAAAGCAAATGGCCGTAAGGAGCGTCGTGAACGTTGTGCCAGAAGCGACACCGAGGTTGAGGCCAATGATGACCGAGTGGATCACGACACCAAGCTCAAAGATCAAAACAGAAATCTTCCGACTCGTCGGGTCCTCTGCATTGAGCTTTGGCACTGGCTCGTGGCAATGAAAGGGTGTCACTTGATGCAGCGGTGACGCGGTGGTGGTCACCCCGTCTTCGATCCTACGTAACGTGCTATTTGAGATGCCACATTCAAAGATCCATAGAGCCGTACGTAGCCAAATCACAAGCTTTGTTGTCGACACGCATTGGATTGAACCGAGCGACGAGCTCGGTTTGAAACCACTGGCTCACAAGCACGGCGGCGACCGCAATGACATTCGCAAGTCCAGGGAACGAGAGATCGAGGCATGGATCGTTGAGCGCGTCGTTGGCCGGCGGCAAGATGTGCACGAGTGCCGTCGCCAGCACAACGCCGACGCCAAACGCGCTGATGAAGGGCATCACCGTGACAAAGTGGCGCAAAATAGTAACGTGCTTGGTGGCCACAGGCGTCGCCGCCCCGAGCGCCGACAAGCCGAGGATGATAAAGACCGACGCGATGTGAAGACTCATGTCGTAGTCGTCGGCGCGGCCTGCAGCCACGCCGCAGCTTGCGTTCTTGGTCATCGCGCTGTGTGGGGACAACATGGTCGAATGGATTGTGTGGGAAAGTCCACCGCGGGCGCGAGTAGGGCTGGGGCTATTTCATATGGTTACAAACCGCCCTCGATTTTCGAAATTCCGAGGACGTCTCGACCAGCAACTGTGAAGTCAACGAACGTTCTTCGACGTCTAAAGACCAATGTGCTTACTTCAAGCACAAATTCATGTCGGAATATGCGACATGTCGAGACCAGGTCAACGTCAAAGGTTCTGTGGACGAGGTACATGCAGGTACTACATGTACTAGTACAGGCATGATCGCTGAGCAATGAAATGCAACGGCGGTTGATTGCACTACATGTGGACTCTGCGTGTCGACGAAAAGACTATCTAATCAAGCTAATGCGCGACAGGGGGATTCAGTGTCCAGCGATCGATGGCTTCGTCGGTGGAGCACTAGCGTCGACATTCCATCGACCACAATGCCAAACACAATAAACTCTTTTTGAAAGCTCTAAAATATGCTACTGTACAAAGCGATAAGTTCATCAGTCCGCGTGCAACTTCACGCAAATTGTCGCAATCCCAGTAGATGCCCAAATTACAACCCTACGTCTTACCTAGCCCTACCCTAGCCCCATCATACAACACCACGTCCCAGCGTTGAGATACCGGTAACCCATTGGTTTCTTCCTCATGCCCAAGCTTGTGCAGTGGCATCGCAGGGGCGCCCGTCAGAACTATGTAATCACGAGCTGCGGACACGCTAGCAGTACAGAAATGTGCTCATTCATGATAACTCCAAGCTAACTCCTGGAGACATGCTACTGTACCGAAGCGCAGTGCAACAGAAGGCTCGGTGCGTCTCCCGCGCTTCAAGCCCGTGTGTCATATTGTAGACAAGAGAACGCTAGCATCAAAGTACCCTAAGTCAATACGACATGAGTCATCTTCGAGTCGTGAGCCACGAGGCGCCTGCCTTCGCTCGTAGTTTGGTCATTGGACATTGCAGTGGCACGCAAAACATAGATACAAAGTCAAAACTAATATACTTGATAGATAATGCTTGGTTCCAAACGTGGATGGAGACGCTATTTCACGGAGACGATGGGCTACGCCGTTTGAGTGGGCGATCGGGTCCCACTGCAAACGCCTCGAGCCGCGCGCGCATCTCGACGTCGTGGATCTCGGACGCACGGAGCGCTGCGACGCCTGCCACATTCTTTTGAAGCATGTACGACCATGATTTGTCGCCCTGGCAGACAAATCTGAGCCCAAGAACGTGCTTGTGGTTTGCAATGGCCGATCGGAGCGCTTCGCAAAGGCTGGCCTTGTCAATAGCCAATTTTTTGCTGGTCGGCGACACCAAAAAGGCGTGGATCGTGTCGGCCATCTCGCATGCGCAGTCGTGCAGCACATCCACGATCGAGAGATCGTTGGCGTCACGCGGCTGGACGATCGGGATGCGCTCGAGGCCCGCCTTCGCAAGGAGAATGTCGGACGCACCACCTTGGAGGTCGAGGTTGCGGAAGACAGCGGTGGCTTCGGGCGTCGTCGTCGTTGCCGCAATGAAAGCCTCGGCAAACGTTGACCGCTTTGCAGCATCAAACGCGCGAAAGTACGCGAGGGCATCGAGAACGAGGTAGGTCGAGCTACAAGCGGGGGACACGCCCTGCAGCGGAGGGTGCTCTTCGTAAAATACGCGCAACTGATGGATCGCGTTGGGCGTGCGTGGTTCAAAGGCGTTGGCTGCGTGCATAAATAAGGTCGAGAGACCTGGCATTTTCGCAATGCCGCCCGTGACTAAAGCAGAGAAAAGCGCCGGGAGCAACGGTAGGCCAATCGTATGCCAGAGCCGATCGAGCACGGTCTCGGACGGCGTCGCCAGAGTAAGCGCCAGAGAGAGGCCGCGTACGCTGTTGAAGCTCCAGGCGTCCGACATCGTAGCAAGCACATTTGTCAGCGCTGCGCGGTACTTGTTGATGCAAAGCTGCGGGTTGCGCTTGACGACGGCGGCCAAAGATGGGGCAACCGTGTCGATGGGCTCGAGCGTCATCCAATACTCGACGCAGCGCTGGATCGAGTGGGTCGGGAAGCGGTACGCGTCAATTTCGGCACACAAGGTCGCGGGCAGCTTGCTCGTGAACCAACCGTCGCCGTCGCCCGACGTAATGTACGCTTCGAGGAGCATTGCCGGCGTGAGGATCGAGCTCATGTCGTCGTAGTCATAAAATTCGTCCGACGGAGCATTGAAGACTGCCATGATGGCCGACCAGCAGGGTTTGATGAGCTCTGCGGCAAATGCAACGTCCAGTGGAGGGCACACGGGGTCGTCCACGACGCCGGCCAAGCTTGCGACGAGCTGAAAGACAGGACCGAATGACATGGCATGATGAGTGCACCACCGCGCCAGCATGGTCACCAGCGCGGTCACCAAAGGTCCCCAGCCGACGGTCGTCAGCGTCGCATGAAGCCACGTGGCCACGCGCTCGATCGTCATCGTGTCTGTCAACGTGAGGTGCTCTGCGATAAAGTGCGACGTCACTGCCACGTCGCCGAGCGCCGCCAATGCATCGCAGAGGATCTCAAAGTGGCTCTTGTCCTCCGGCAGCGGGGGACGCGGCGCCTTGTCCGCCTCGTGGGATTGGTCGTCGCCAAAAAAAGGCACGACCGCCAAGGCAAGCTCACTGGGGCTAAAGGTGCCGAAGAGGCGGTCGTCCGCGCTATCGACCACGGGCGACTCGACAACGAGGCGCAGCGACGCGAGGGCCGTGGGGAGGCCGACGACGGCAGGTCGCGTGCGCTTGGGCCAGAACGCGAGAAACTTGGTCGGCTCAAAAAGGATCGCCCGTGTGTTTACGATCGTGCCAATGCGCTTGCCGACGAGGTTGCGCTGCACCGTCGATGGCACGTTGGCGAAAGGAATCGAGAGAGAGTCCACAATGAGCGTCGTCGCGTGGGGTGTGGCGCTGCACTGGACGAGCACGACGTCGTAGCTGCCTGCCGTGATAAGAGCATGAACGAGGCGGCGCTCGGCGTACGAGAGAGCGTCGGCGCTCCATGGCGTGTGCGGATGGTCGAGCGCGTACCCGAGGATCGTCGACGTTGGTGGCAGCAGTGCAAGCTCTTGGAGAAAGGACGCGGCGAGGTCGAGCACGGCCGGGGCAAGTGCAACGTTCGCCTCTTCGTCGACGGGAACGAGGTCGTAGACGAGCATGGACCGGGCGCCTGCGACGATCGGCGCAACGAGGATCTCGGCCGACGTGAAGAGTGCGAGGTAGCCTGGCGTTGCGACGTGGGTCAAATCGTTGAACGCCCAGTGGGTCCCGGCGTTCTTGGTCTTGAACGTCAAAGCACCGCCGCTGTACACGGACGGCAGCAGCACGAGCACGCGTCCAATTGCATCTGTACTGTCCGACGCGGCGCTCGCTGCGTCGCCGTGGACGTCGATCGCCATGTGCTTCAAGCGCAGCGCGACGGGCCCGCGGACCCCGAGGACGCCGTTGACGCTGGCGAGGATCGCGTTCGTCGTCGTTGTCGTCCAGTCCATGCTGTTGCATGTGATGCGCTCGCCGGGGACGAAGATCGCGCGGCCGTCGGGGACTGCGAGGAGCGCTTCCAGGCCCGTCCGCTGGGACTCGAGCACGGGCCATGCGAGCTGCTCGTCCATGCCATCGACGCGGAAGAGCGGGTCCACGTACTTCATGCGCTCGTTGGCGCTGTAGGCGAAGCCCGATATGTCGAGCATGTCGAGCACCGGGTCAAGCTCGGTCGCGTCTTCTTCCATCGGCTGGAAATCCGAGAATGAGGTCGATCTTTGATATTTATGGCACAACGCCATAAATTATGTAAATACCACAAATAATGACATGTGCATCTAATATGTTATGTACAAATAGAGTATTTGATAAATAGTATTACGATGAAATAGTATTACATTGGAATAGTGTTGTCTCAAATAAGATAAATAGTGTAAAGGTTCGAGTGACACACACGGTGGCGATCATTGATGGCATTCGATGCTAGGCTTTTCCTTCTACTGTCTTGAACAATTGTACGAGTACTATTCTACTATGATCGACTGGTGTGGGCTACGTAGTACAAGCGAAGAAGGCGAGGGTCCTCGTATGTCGTAGCGTCGCTTTGTTCTTAACGCGCCTCCAGCGCGACGGTCCGAGGCTCAAATTCGTATCCACAATCACCAATCCTATACCAGTTCAATACACCATAAACGCCAGCATCATTACCTTCAACGTCCTCTCGACAAGCTCGCAGAAGCAAGCACAGCAGTTGCCGGTTCTGGCTCTAACGCTTAACGTTATGGTGCACCAACGTCACTTGCCATGCACGCGCGGTGCCAACAACATACCGTTATTGGGCTCCCACATTCCAACCGTCAGCAACGAACGATGAGTCAACCGGTAAATGGCTCTAATTTAGTGGAATTGACGATTTAAATGTAATATTCAGAGACGCGGGCAAGCCCGGTCGTTTGGCGATGAATGAATTCGCTCTCGCGCAACGACGTGTGGTTGCGCTTGAAAAAGACCACCGGCAGACTCCGTGCGTGCTCGCACTGCGCGTTGTAGAGCACGAGGCGGCCTACCGGGCGCACAAAATGGGACGCCGCGCGACGCTTGGGCTGCGCTTCGTACCCGACCAGCTGACGCGTCACAACCGATCGGAGGTAAAAGTTCGTGGCCAAGACACCGCCGACCTCGGTGCATGCGATCGTAAACCGCGCATGCGTCGGAAACACGAGCTGTCCAGGCGCGGGCCTGCGAAAGCAGAGGCGCCCGTGACGGCCCACTGCGAGGTACGTGCCGTCGCTGCGCGTGAAGACGACTTCGTCGCCGTCGCAGACGCCCACCGCCGACGAGAGCGCGTGGAGCTTGAGTTTGTGTTCGACGCCGAGCATCGAACTGTCGAACGGAAAGCAGTCGACGCGACCTGCCGACCAAAAGCTGGCGCGTGGACTGTAGACAAGGCTGCCCGAGACCTGCATGTGGGTGTTGGACCATCGGAAGAGGAGGTGGATTGTATCGCCCGGGCAGAGCGACCGGCCCGGCGCCGGCGGGAGTGGCCGGGGCACGAGGGACAGAATAATCGGGTCGGACATGGCGCGGCGCACGACCGGCAGTCCAAGGGTCGAGGAGGCGGGCGGCAGCGGCGCGCTCTCACAGCGCTGCATGCGGTGGTTTGGACGCAGCTCGTCGTCGCTGCGCCGGCGTACGCGCGAGAGCACCTTGGCGTACGGGTTGACGCCCGGGCGCGGCAAGGTGCCGCTGACAACCGTCTCGCGCATCGATCCAAAGTGCGCTGAGGTACGCATCGGGCGGCGGCGATCCAGTGCATCGCGTTCGATCTGGATATCTCGCTTCGACGAGTGCCCACATGTGGAAACTATGTCTGGTAGGGGCGCCTTGGAACCAGATTTGTCTCGCAGCCCAATGCCCGCAGCCAGCCAACAACGTCGACAGCGAGCCGCCTACTATGGTCGTCGTCCTTGCTCGACACTTGCCGGTCCACGCGGGCCGTTCGACGTGGCAACGTGGTGCACGCGGCTTCTGCGCTTGGCAGCTCTGCCATGCGCTGTCACGCAACTAGGGAATTGCCCGTTGACAGCGGTCCAATCAACGCACGGGAATCACGTACCGCCGTGTGTGATTGGGCGCGTTTGTTTGGAGTATTACCACAGGAGCGCCATGAACGGGGTCCTGCCAAGCATGACGTGGGGCACGTGGATCGACGAAGGCGAAGCGCTGGCTGCGTCATCAACTCCAGCGCCAGTGCCCACGTCCAAGAAGCAGAAGCGGCGCCTCGAGCGGGGCATCTCGACCGCGCAAGAGGCCAGTTGGTTCGAAGAGGTCTTGGCGCAGGTCGAGGCCGCGGACGAGAACCTCCATGCGCGCTACTACCGCAACCCGATCCTGGACAAAACAACGGCGACGATTCCGTGGACCGAGTTGCCATCCGGCATTCATCCCAAAGACGGGCACTTGCCACTGCAACGCATTCAGAACAAGCGCCACCAAGTCGAGAACCTCGCCATCTTTCTGCAGTCCATCGTGCGGTACAATTTCTTGCCATGAGCGATCGTCCATACCTCTCTCGATATAAACGCTAGGGACGGCGACGTCGTGGTCGAGTTTTGCGCCGGCTCGGGCTACGTGGCGCTGCCGCTCGCGTGTCAATTCCCCAACTGCCACTTTGTGCTTCTGGACATGAAGCAGCCGTCGCTCGACATTGCGAGCGAACGCATTGCGCTCGCCTCTCTCTCCAACGTGAGCATCTTTTGCGGTCGCGTCGAAGGTACGTTCTATGATCTCGAGATGACCAGGAAGATGACGAAGATCGACTACGGTGCGGTAGAGTACGACGCGCCTTTTGATGTCGGCATTGCCCTCCATGCGTGCGGCGAGGTAGTACCTTTTCAACGAGGTTTGCGGTCGCCAACCTTGGTTAGGCTACGGACATGGTCCTCGACAAGTGTCTCAAGGCGGACGCGGCGTACGTGCTCGCGCCCTGCTGCGTGGGCAAGATCAAGCACTCGCTACTGGAGTATCCTCGGTCCAAGTCCCTTCAGACAGCCGTGACGCGCACCGAGTACGAGGTATCTAAGCCTGTCGGGGAAATTCCCTTATTCCGCGTACTAGATTTTGGCCAAGGCCGCCGACTTTGGCCACAACGGCCATAGCACGGTGGCGGTGAACGCAGCCAACATCAATCGACGGCGGTGCAAGAGTGTGCTCGAGACCGACCGCAATCTGCGCGCGATTCAGGTCTGACGACCGTACACTGCTGGTAGCACATTTCCCAACCAGACCATGTCTAGAACTGCGGGTACTCTGCGGCCATGTACATCATGCACCCATTCGATGCGACGCCCAAGAATGACATTCTTGTCGGGCTTCCTCGGCACCGCGACCCGGCACAGCTCCCACAAGCCGGCCTCTTGACGCCGGAGGAGGTTCATTTGGCGCTCTACGGCCGGAATATCGACGACCAAGTGCAGTAAACTGATGCAGGCACGGTCGTTGCCACCTGCTTTCAAATCTACCGTGAAATCGCGTCCGCACGGTAAATGCACGGTAATAGAGACACAATGGCACAGCGTAGCAGCCCGCGCTGGCCGTAAATCCGCGGAATCCCTCCACTAGCGCTGTCGTGGGACGTGGGGAACCCCATCTCCCCGGTTTTCAGCGCAGGTTGCATCGTATCAAACGGTAAAACCAGAAGCCCAGGATGCCACATACACAATCGACCAGAGCATGCGACAGACGCGTCGGTCGAACGGCACCAAGGGCGGCGCGGCTTGGTGCGGTGGCGGACCCTTCTCTCGCCGCCGTCGGCTACTCGGTTCCGTGCTTCCATGGCGACCACAGCACGTTCGACGAAAAGGGTACTTTAACCAAGATCCCAACTTCGAAATCCTGGGTTTGACTTGAAGCGTGTCAAATCGGCGCGGGAGCCACTCAGAGGCCGCCACGCCTTGCCACGCGCCCTTCAACAATTCGAAATTTGCCGATCTTCCGCCGACGACGGATGCTGGGATTGCGCATGCCACTCGGAGAACATACAAACTCCAAGATGTCCTTCGTCCGTCTTCATCATGCTGCCATCTGGGATCCTCGGAGATGAGTGTCTGTGGCCAAAAAGTCGAACCAAGAAATGGTTGGTCATATGGCGCGCGTTCGCTTGTATACTCTGGCCAAGTGACGACTTCCCGAGGATTTTCTTTGGCGTTCGACCAATCACACGCGTGGTCGGTTATCCGGATACCAATAGGAAGCTTGCGGTTTGTATGCAATGCCGGATAAGCCACGGCGTTGAACCGCGTGCCATACGCTTCTGCAGCCGCAACCCTATTGCGGATTTCCACCAATGAGATGCCAGAAACCCGCCGAGTCGACTTTTTGCGTGGTATACAAACATCAAGAGAGATCACGAAGCACTCGGCGTTTCTAATTGCATACAAACGTCAAGACGGAAAACACTTGGCCAAAATCGTAGCGATCCGCCAAGTTCATTTTCGAATTCGCTTCTTCCAGCGCAACTCAACCTCACAACATGGTCGCTGAACGCACGTTCCTCTTCACGTCCGAGTCGGTCAACGAAGGCCACCCCGACAAGCTCTGCGATCAGATCTCGGACGCTGTCCTTGATGCGTGCGTCGCCCAGGACCCCAACTCGCGCGTCGCTTGCGAGACGTGCGCCAAGACGGGCATGGTCATGATCTTTGGCGAGATCACGACGCGCGCCACGATCAACTACGAGGCGGTCATCCGCGAGGCCATCAAGGCCATCGGCTACGACGACCCGGCCAAGGGCCTCGACTACAAGTCGTGCAACGTCATCGTTGCCATTGAGCAGCAGTCGCCCGAGATTGGCGCCGCCGTTGACGGTGCCAAGGACGAAGACATTGGCGCTGGTGACCAGGGTATCATGTTCGGCTACGCCACGGACGAGACGCCCGAGCTTATGCCCTTGACGCACGTCCTCGCCACGCAGCTCGGCGCCCGCCTCACCGAAGTGCGCAAGAACGGCACGCTCGACTGGGTGCGCCCGGACGGCAAGACGCAGGTCACGATCGAGTACAAGCAGGAGAACGGCCGCATGATCCCGCAGCGCGTCCACACTGTCGTCATCTCGACGCAGCACAGCCCCGAGGTCTCGAACGAGCAGATCGCCGCCGACCTCATGACGCACGTCATCACGCCGGTCATCCCGGAGCAGTTCCTTGACGACAAGACCGTGTACCACTTGAACCCGTCGGGGCGCTTCGTCATTGGCGGTCCCCACGGTGATGCCGGCCTCACGGGCCGCAAGATCATCATCGACACGTACGGCGGCTGGGGCGCCCACGGCGGTGGTGCCTTCTCGGGCAAGGACTCGACCAAGGTCGATCGCTCGGCCGCCTACGCTGCCCGCTGGGTCGCCAAGAACCTCGTCCACCACGGCCTCTGCAAGCGCGTCATCGTGCAGCTCTCTTACGCCATTGGTGTCTCGCACCCGCTCTCGATCCACATTGACTCGTACGGCACGGTCAAGGAGGGCGTGACCGACGACGACCTTGTCGAGATTGTCAACAAGAACTTCGACCTCCGCCCCGGTTGCATCCAGCGCGACCTCAAGCTTAAGCGCCCGGTCATGCAGAAGACGGCCGCTTATGGCCACTTTGGCCGCGACCACGAGGACTTCACGTGGGAGACGATCAAGGAGCTCAAGCTCTAAATCGCTTCGCAGTGAAAAATAAAAATATATCCACGTTTTGTCCATTAAACTCATCCATATCTTGCACCTCGCGTATAACACGCCATGCCACAAGTTAAACAATGGTATAACACAGCCGTGGAGCCGAAAGTGCAGTTTCGGTTACACGGCGCAGACAGGCGGCTATGGACGTCGGCGCCCGCGTCCGCGTCTTCTGGGCGTCCGAGGACGCATGGTTCGAGGGCGAGATCACGGCCATTGACGATGGCAGCATCCACGTTCTCTTTGGTACCGAATCTTGGCACGCGATGATGCGACCACGGGTGTAGACGACGGCGACGAAGGCGAGTACGAGCCTGGTGACCAGATTGAGCTTCTGGCTTCGTGCGATGCGTATATACCCCTGCCCATTCGGTGCTCGGTCTTTATTTATGGCGGACGTACTAGCGATGACGATACAATGGACGACGAACGCGATCTCGCAAGCAGCGAACTGTAAGCACACTAAGAACTCCTCTCTTCTTATTGTGGTCGTTGCAGGGCGGCCGAGTCGGACAACGACGCTGCGTCCAACGACGACCTGAGCCGCCCCTCTTCCTCGTACGACGACGATAGCAACGATGTATGGTCTTACGGCTCATGGGCTAGTCGACTACGCGATGATGCCATCGAGATGGACCTTCCGGATGATGACCTCGCTGTAGCTGCCATTGCCATGCTCTCAGCAACCGACGACGACGATACGAGCGGAAACAACGACCCGACACCCAGCCTCGCAGCGTACACCGCTACTACCGGCTGTCACAGCGCGAATACCACATCTAGGAGCGAGGCGTACTCGTTTGCGGATGACGACGATGCGTCCGTTCCGGTCGCAGCGACAGATGCGCTTCCGTCGCCACATAGTCCAGTGCCACACCAGCTGCAGTGGTGGCGCGTCCGGTTCACAAAGGACGGGTGCACCGAGACCGGCGTTATAATCGACGTCTCCCTCCCGCTCTTGCACGTCGACCGAGGTCTGTCCATGCCTGGTGTCAAGTAGCTGATGCTCAACCATGTATGTAGATTTGGCGCGGGGCAGTCTAGTGTACCTCGACGTCGACCTCGACACGATCGAGTATATGGAGCGCACCAGCGTCTTTGCCTTCACAACAGTAGCGGCGTACGTCCTATTTCACTTGTCGAAATGTTGTAGCAAGGTGATGTGCGTAGCCCCTCGGTGCTTGCGCGTCGATGCGAGAGCCCGCCGTTGCTGTCGCGCAACCCGCTTGCCGGCTTGGATATGACGACGACGGACGTGCGCAAGAAGCTGCTGCAATACGCCAGCTTGATCGAGCACTGTCTGTGCGCCAAAGACGCATGGCAGACTACGATCGCACTGCACTTGGCCGAGGTAGTACGCTGCCTTTTTCTAGTCGATAGATCCATTGTATATGTACTAGCACCAACGACTTGCCACGTGCTTTCAAGACATGCAGTCGCCGGACCGCGGGTTGCGCCTCGCTGCCGCGCGATTTCTCTGTGCGTTGGCCCACGAGTCCCAGCGGAATCAGTCCCTTTTGCTCCAGTACACCTCGTGTATCGTTGCGAAGCTGTACCGAGAGGCGTGGCGTAGGTACAACGGGCTCTCGGTGCTCTGTCTGCGTATCTTTTCGATCCCGAGCCATTTCCAGCGCCACTATGAAGCTCAGTGCCGCCTCCAGCGCGCCAGTCCGACCCAAGACGGGTTCCTCCACTACCTCACTGCCTTTGTGCGAGACCGCATGCGGCCGCTCCTCGCTCGCTTGCACTCGTGCTACGACGCACCCGAACGGCGTCTTCCCATGGTCTGGTTCAGCGCCCATTGCCCAAAATCAGCCGAGAACGACGATGACGATATCGACGCGATCGGTGGCTTTGGTCATGACGTCTCAACCGTCCCTGATCCCGACACACACCTTATTGGGTTTGTCCTTGGACGGGACCCTGCGTGTGTCCCCCCCACGGCCTTGACCAAGTCCGAGGTGCGTCGACAATAACCTCAGCCTTTTCCTAATTCGGTTTCTCCGAGGTGGATACGATGGCCAAGCTGTTTGTCGTCTCCCCGCCCAACGCCGTACCTCGACGCGACCTCGTCACGAAGCTTGATTGCTATGTAGATAAGCGTGCTCCAAGAAGCGCAGATGCTCCTCGGGACGCTGTCGCCGCCCGTGAACCGGTTCGTCGTACGCGACAAACTCGCCGCCTCGCCACTCGTGCAGCACCTTGTGGACGATATGGACATGGGCGTCATGGGCGTCGTCGCAGCTCTCGATGACGTGGCGATAGTCGGATGGCGCGATCTCTTTTCGTATCTGAGCATGCGCTTGCACCTCGACGCGCTCGGAGCCTTGTTTGACGCGGCGTGGGTCGCCGAGCTCGTCGGCGTGTTCCGCTCGCTCTTGCCCGACTTGAATCGTACGAGCGTTTGCGCTGTTGGTATGGTTGATGATGCTCTTTTGGCTGGTGTAGCCTTGCTGCGGCCCACGACGTGGGTCTGGAACGTCGAGCTTATCGACGCGATCGAGCGGCACTCGGTCCTTGTGTCGGACTTCCGCATCTGCGGCGCGCTAGAGAAGCTCCATGGCGTCGCGCTGCGGCCACTGGGTTTTCTGTGCTTGCTCACAGCGCTGCGGCAGTGTCTCTTGCCGTCACCGACCTTTCAGCCGCGCAAAACGTTGAAACAAGCTACGGCGCACCGCGTCACGAGCCGCCTCACGTCGCAAACCACCGACGAGCGCGTCTCATCGGCGATTGCACGCGCAAAGGCGGCTGTATGTAGCCTCCAAGCCACGCAGTCGCACCGCGCCCGCACCCACCCGCGCGCCACGTACCTCCGCCACGTCTCGAATGTGGACACGATTCAAACGTATGTGACGCAGCAAGCGCACGCGCTCGAGTCGGAGCTGCGCGACTTTATGCGCGCGCAGCGCGACCCGCCACCGTCTCCATCGTCCTCGCCGCCAACGCATGATCCGAATGCTAGTTTACAGCCCCATCTGAACGCTGTGCTCAGCGCGCGTGGGCAGGACTTGGACGCGATAGCATCGGCACTACATGTTGAGAAGATGGAGCGGGCCGACGCCAAGCGCCGGACTGTCCAGCGGAATAAAGTCAAGTACGACACGGAGATGGTCATGGAGTTGGTCGAAACGTCGTGTGCTTGTAGGTTGCAGCGAGAGCAAGCCAAGATCGCTGCAGCCATGGCCGCCAAGGAAACCAAAGCACAAGCACTACGGGACGCGATCGAAGCCAAGAAGCGACTGCAGCAACAGCAAGCGCACCGACGCCACGCATTGCGACAAGCCCGCGTGGTCGCCCAGCTCCAGCGACAAGAGTCGTCTGGCGACAACAACAACAGCAATACGGCACATCCCAAGCGACCTGCATCGGCGCGACCGCAACGCAGCGAGCCGCACCGACCAAAGGAGCCGACGCGACCACGGTCACCGCCGCCTCGCCTGTCGTCACCGACGCGCACGCCACGTCGCCCACGGTGTCAGTCGGCGCGGCTCATCCGAGACCGGTCCACGGCCTTTGGCAACATCATGTCGGACCTCCAAAGCGCCGAGCTGGCGGCCAAGAAGGTGCACGCCAAGAAGCTATGGCGTGCGATGCGAGCAGACGAGAAAGCAGTCGTTGGAAAGTACGCGGTACGCTGCTGTTCCGCGTGATGCAATCTGTACAAAGGGTGGATGGTAGGGACCGCCACCGACGCAGCCAGCGACCGAGACGCACGAGACGCCTCGATTTACGCGCATGTCGTTCTTATCGCCAACCAAAGCGGTGTCGACCACGCCGCTCGAGCTACCGCTGGCAAACGAAGCGACGTGCAAGAAGCTGGCGGGTGAACTCTTGCCACCCGAGGTGCGTCCGCCCGAGATCCACGACGCTGCGACACCAAGCTATGTCGTGCTCGCCAAGTACAAGCGGACGCTGAGCGACACGCAGCGCGAGCTCTACAAAGGTACGACCTGCCTACTCTGAGCGAAGTCGCAGGATACGAGGGTAGCACGGTTTGCGACGCCGACCTCCAAGCTCAACCACCGGCTCTCGTGCGCGGTGCAGGAGCAGTACGTGCACATGACGCGGCGCAAAGAAGCGTGGGACGCCTTCAGTGCGCAGTCCCATCTCTACTCGGACGATCCAAATCTGCTCAAGCGCACAGAGCTCGGCCACGTCATTCGCAGTGTGGGTGGGTCGAACCATACAGCGCAGGAAAGCGCGTCATGACGAGCGATGCCTAGGTTTGCAGGTGGCACCGACCACTCTCGAAGCCATTTGCCGCCGCCTCGACACCAAGCTCACGGGGTTTATTGCGTGGCGCGACTTTTACGAGTGGTTTCAGGGCCAAGACGAACAGCGCGCGACCTCCCGCAGCCTCCGCACGTAGCACATCTCTCTCGCAGCAACGCTTGTACCATTTCTTGGCCCATTAATGACACCCACCATGCGTCGTAGCAAGACTAGCATGTATAGTCAACGAGGTCATTCGAGACACCATCAGTTGGTTTCGGCGTAGACACTGCAAAGGGCCTATAAGCTGCGCATCGACCCTTGACACTGGCTCACCACGCTCCACGAGGTTGGGCAGACCGCGGGCTGGGTGCTTTGCCACGAAGAGTGGCCCTTTGTTGCGCAGCTGGTGGCTGCGAGCTGCGCTGGCGATAGGTCATGGGTCTTTATTATTGACCCATGGATAGGTTCAGATTCTGGCGCCACCGACCACAGATTCGTAGGGGCACACTCTAAGGACCCATGCTCCCACGTCGTCCTCAATGCTGGAGCTCCACATTTCCGACAGCCATGGTATGCGTAGGGTATCGGAGCCTCAGAAGGAGGTATTCTAGCGCTGCTTGTTGTCGGGACCGGTATGAGCCGAAGCGTCGTCGAGCACTGACGCCACTTGCACTTGGTCGCCATGCATACTGAACGCAAATGGTTGTCAAAGTTGAAGTTGCCTTTTTCCGGATACGCTTGCGGATTGCTATCATTGTGGCCTGGCGATCGGGCCGATCATTCCCCGACCTGCGATGCTGAGCTCGACCGCCCGCCGCCTCACCCGCCCTTCCTGCCTGACGCGTGCGAGCAGCCATGCTGCCACCAGTCTGCCGCCGGCCCCCGCCGACTATGACTGGGACGCATTCCGGGCCAAGGCGCACCAAACCATCGACTTTATTGTCGACTACAACAAGCGGCTCGCAGCGCGCGAGCTGCCCGTGCTGCCGTCGTGCGAGCCGGGGGATGTGCGTCGTGCGCTGCCGTCGCACCCGTCCGAGACGCCCGTCGAGTGGTCGCAGATTCTGGCCGACGTCGAGAAGGTCGTCGTGCCCAACATGACGCATTGGCAGCACCCCGACTTTATGGCGTACTTTCCCGCGCAAGCCGCGCCGTCGGCGATGCTCGGCGAGCTCATGGCCAACGCCATGAACCAGCCGGGCTTCAACTGGATCTGCTCGCCGGCCGCGACCGAGATGGAGCTCCACGTCATGGACTGGCTCCGCGAAGCGTTTGGGTTGCCCGAGGCCATGTCGTGGCGCGGCTCGGGTACGGCTCTAGCGTTCTGAAGGATGATATTCATGACGTGTATGGCGTAGGCGGTGGCATCATGCAGCCGAGCGCGACCGAGGGCATGATCGTCGCGCAGGTAAGCGCCCGCACGCGCAAGCTCGCGGCCAACCCGGGGCTCTCGCTCGACTCGCTCGTGAGCTACTACAGCGACCAGTCGCATTTCTGTGTCGAGAAGGCGAGCAAGGTCCTCGGTGTCAAGCATTTGCGCAAGATTCCGTCCGTGCTGGATCCGTCGACTGGCAACTACGCCATGGACCTCGACGTGCTCGCGGCGACGATCGCCGATGACTCGGCGAACGGCCTCGCGCCGTTCTTCGTGTCCGGCAACTATGGTGCGACCGGTGTCTGCGCCGTCGACGACATTGAGGCGATGGCTAAGATCGCATCGGAGAACGACATGTGGCTCAACATGGATGCAGCGTACGCCGGCGTCGTCGCGCTCTTGCCCGAGATGCGGTCGACGCTCGGCGGCATGCACGTCTGCGACTCGCTGCTCATGAACGGCTCGAAATGGTTCCACCTCATGTTCAACTCGAGCTTCTTCTTCTTCCGCCAAAAGGAGCATGTTGTCCAAGCCCTTAATGCGACCGGCGCGTACCTCGAAAACAAGCACACGGCCGACAACAACGTGTTTGACCTCAAGGACTACCAGCTCGGCCTCGGCCGGCCGTTCCGCGGCCTCAAGGCGTACTGCACGATCCAGAGCATGGGGCTTGAAGGCTTCCGCGACGGACTGCGCCGCCATTTGCAACTGGCGACGTACCTCGCCGACGAGCTCCGCAAGCACGAGCGCATCCACGTGATCCGAGATATCTTTGGCCTTGTCTGCTTCCGCGTCAAGGACGCCGACGATGCGACCAACATGGCGGTCATGGAGCACCTCAACAACGTCGAGGGCATCCATATGGTCCATACGGTCACGGCGGACCACGGCGTTGTCCTTCGCCTTGCGCTCTGCCACCCGCAGCTCACGGTCGAGGACATGGACCGCCTCGTCGCCAAGGTGCTGCGGTCGCTCCCCGATGCAAACAAAGTGGCCGCCGTCGCCTAAGACAGATCGGAGCTTTTGAAATAGAAGGTGCAGTTCCTATAACATATTTGAGGTTGACTGGAAAGCCCATCGAGCAGCGAGTGGGAGCTAGACGAGCAAGTCGATAGACGGGTGGACGCAGAGGTTTCTCGACGGTCTAGGAGTGGATGGCATTGGTTTCGGTATATACTCGACGACTACTGAGGCACTCGAGTTAACAATGTAGCTTGATAAATCGATACTAGTACATTTCATCAAGCTATAAAAGATCTAAACACGGCGTTTGGGCTCAAAACTACAGGACTGTACTGTAGACGATGCAACCAAAGAGTACGACAATGATGACGGCGGTGCGTCGACCCGCGCTCATGGCAACGGGCGGTGGCGTCGTGATTGGCTGCTTGGGGGCATCTTCGCTCGCCGAGTCGGTTCGGAGACTCTCACCGACGTAGAACACAATATTTTGGAACTCTAGCGCGGAATCCTCGGGAGAATAGGTGTAGCCACCGCTCTCGGGGGGATTGGTGTGACCACTGCCCTCGGAAAAGTTGCCAAAGGTCGAGACATTAAACCCACTGCCGCTCGTGACAGAACTGCCGCTGCCATTGGTTGAGCCATTCCCAATGCCGGCCGTCGCACCACTTTGATCGTCAACCACGGTCGGTACCACGGAAGCCGAGTAGGTATTTAGGGACTTGGGGCAGCGCGGGTTGCCCGGCGTCGACTGTAGGCTGGGGTTGAGGCACTGCCCGAACGCGAGGTAGCACTCGTTTTGAAAAAAAACGGGGCTCGTCACGCCGTCGGTCGCGCAGATCTTGGCCCGCGTTGCGTTGCATGGGCGGACGCTGCGGGCACACGCTTCGTACGTTGGCTGGCTCGCATTGTACGAGCGCGGGCAGTCGTCACCAGCGCAGGGCGTCGGACACGCAAACGACGCGACAAACTGGATTCGGGCATCGAGGCGCCGGGCGACCTTGAGGTGAAAGTAGCTGTTGTACGTGACACCATTCGAGCCGCAGACCGGGCGCACGGCGTCGACGCCAACGGCGTTGAGCTGCTCCAGAGCGACGACCGGGCACTGGCCGTCGATCGGCGCTGCGTAGCATTGCACATTGCGGTCCAAGCACTTGGCGTAGAGGCACTCGCACTGTGAGCCGTAGCGCGTGCTGTTGGTCGGGTCAAACACGGCGGCCTTCGGACCGTACGTGCTGCACATGCGGGTTGGCGACGTATCGTTGCGGCAGACCACCGAGCTGTAGCACACCGCATCAACCCACGACATTTGGAGCGTGAGCAAGAAGACAAGAAACCAATGCTCCGTCATCGTCGTGGAAAGTGATATTGTGCAAGAGTGGAGGCGCTCAAGGCTGCTCGGACGACAGTGTCCCGGATACCGTCCGTTGATTGTCGACTCCGACTGGAACAACCAGAAACGCGACGAGACGTTGTTGCGATCACCGGGAGCTCGGTGGCGAGATGCAAAAATGTCAACTCGTACACTCAACCATTAACTTGCGTGAAATTGTATCGAAGACTTGAAAGCGCACCGTTCGCTCGTCTCCCCCGCACCTTCTCGCACCTCTTCCTTTGGATCAGTAGAAGGACACACTTTGTAAACCACAGTAGTTGTTCTGTTTGTACGGAGATAGAGGCGCCGTCACTGCAGTCCAGACGCCAACTACCATACGACCAAGCAGATCCGATGACGCACCTCGATCGTCATAGTCACATTGGTATCGTTCATGGACAGCGCGGTTCAGTACACATCATATCTCGGCCACGCCGCGCTCGATGCACTGAGCCCCCTCGCCGTCTCACTGCCCATCAGTGAGTATGTCACCGAAGCCACCGTCACGACCATGTACACCAAGCTCATTGCGATCGGCTGGATCCTTGTTTCCAAGCTCGCGGTGGCCATTACCTTGCAGTGCTACATCAAGTACCTTGGCCGCACCGACGACACCAAGGCGCACCGGACCGCGCTTGTCGTGGCGCTGCACGGCAGCAGCAGCGAGCAACTACTCACGCTTTACGAGGGTCGACGGCAACTGCCAGGTGCCATCGTCGCAGCCGTGGCCATGGGTCTCCTGTCACAACTCGCTGACCTCGCCGTGCCGCTCTTGGTGAGCTCGGTCGTCGTCGCAAGCGAGATGAAGAGCGACGGCTCCGACTCCTTTGTGCGCGACCACATGCTCTCTTACGACCCCGAGTTGGGCGTCGATTTCAACCTCTCAATGACTTTGCACAAATCGATCCAGAGCAGCAACATGGTGTCGTCCATCTCGAGCTCCATGGTCGAGTTAGCGGCGGCCGGTGTCTTTGCCGTCGCCAACAGGAACCGAACGTGGACACCGCGCCATGGCAACCGCACACTGACCGTCGCGCCATCGCTCGTCCTTCAAAGCGATGCTTTCACTGGCATTTACGTGCACCCGGGCGTCCAAAGGGTCATCGACGGCACGGTCGCCAATGGGTCGAGTCGGCAAGCACTCGAGTTTCTGACGCCGGCGCTTCTCGTCTCGCACCGGTGTGGCCTTGTCCACTTAGAAGATGCGGCAACGCCGGCACGACTGAACAAAACCGATCCGTCGAGCTACCCGTCGTGGTTTGCAGCAGCCATGGGCGAGCCGTGGCCACCGCAGATGCTCTACAACAGCTCGGGCACGGCCAACGCAAGTCTGATCTATCTCAGCGGCATCACGACACCCGACAACATTGGTCTTGACGTCTCGACATCGGTGCCGAATGCAGCCAACGAGCTGCTCTTTGGGGCGATTCGAACTGTGAACGCAACGTACGCGCTGCCAACGACACCGGTCGCTGCCCTCCTCGGGTACGACTGCCCGGGCACCGTAGTCACGGGGTTTCTTCGCATCCATATCAACGCAACCGACGTCCATGTTTTGTCGATCGAAAACCAAACGGCAATCTCCAACCTCGGAAGCGCGCCAAAATCTGCTGCCACCAAAGATTCGGACAAGTATGAACTGACGTACAATGACGTCGTCACGTCGGGGGGCATGGTCCTCGGTGCGCCTGTCTACTGCGGGTGGTTCCTCCTACAATTGCAGTGTGGCAACTGCACGCCAGGTATCGAGAGCCTCGCACAATTGCTCGGCCTCGCCGTGACGCTGGAAGGGACCATGCAAGGCGCGCACTGGATATCGGTGGGCGGGACTCAGTCGGCGCTGGCGGCCGTGTCGCCCGTGTACTACGCTGGACGAGACGTGTACGTGCTGCGGGTTGTTGCCAACTCGGCGCTCCTCGTCGCCGTTGGTAGTCTTGTGGTGCTTTTGACGGCGATGTACGTTCTCGGCGTTGTCCAAGGGCGACGCACCGAAGGTCTCGAGGATCTCACGGAGCTCCGGTCGTTTCGAAAGTGGGATGGAGCGGGCGCTACGGTGCTCGGCCACGACGCGTACCTCACGATTGCACCCCACCACGCATAGAGCTTCTAACGACGACGACGACGGATCGTAATGCTATTTACTCGCAGATTGGGTTTGTCCATCATTCCTGAGGTAACCCTTTTACGAGAAAGAGCGTGTCCACGGGTGGCGGTGTGCGCCGCACCTTCTTGGATTCTTAGGACAAAAGATCGCCATCCCGTCGCATTGTCGCCGCGGGGACATCTCGTGTGACACTGATTCGCACCACGATATTCGAAATGGGCAACGCGCTCTGGCGTATAGACGTATAGACTCATTTTGACTACCGCATTTCAACGAAAACAGATTCTGTGCTGCCACGCCATCATGACAAAGATAGAAAAGGTATCCACTGCTGGCAAAACGTGCGCTTGAGCTGTGCGCTTGGTGATTTGTTCCTTCCTCGTGAGAACCGTCGATCTATTTGCCCGAGAATCGGAGTCGCTTCCTCGTGTGCGTTCCGGGGCGCGACATATGTGTCCTACGCCCCGTCGTCAGTCCGCCACAGAGCCCATTCCATATTTGTTTTGGCCGTGTCCAGCAACTGGCAGACAGTAGGTACCTTCCGATAGGCTGTGCAATGTCACTGTCTAGCAATCGGCTCATAGCGTTTGCCAGTCACGACTGCCAGTCACAGAGGGTGTATGAAAGAATAAGGTGGGCAGCCACCGACATGCCAAATCTTGAAACTGGCTGTCCAGTGGCATGGTCCAGCGGATCTTTTCCCAAATCAAATAGCGAGGCTAAACAAACGCAATGAAGCCACGTCCTTACCTACCAAATGGCTCATACGAATGCTCTGTGGAGTTCAACGAGACGAAGATGCTAGGTTATGGTGCGCTGTATCAAATGTCTATGGCACAAACGACTGCCGGCTTCCACACGGGCATGATCTTTTGCGGTGCCCCCTATTTGTTGCGTGCTCTTAGTCAGAACGTTGTCAATCGTGTTCGAAATTCGGGTGGCATGAGCTGGCAGCGTCCAAGCGCAGGAATTCAGATTCGAACTTCGATTGAGGCCAGAGAGATGGCCAGCAGGTCCGAGGGCCAACACTTGGCTTCGTCGCAGTTTGACATTTGCCGAGCAAGACACCATGGCGTTCCTGCGCACGCTTCTTCTCTGCCTCGCGATTGCAGCGACGAGCATGGCATCGGAATGCGTCGACGCCGACTTGACCGCGATCAACGCCAGCGCCTCGGGCTGCTCGAGCTTCAACATGACGACGTCGACCAACAGCTCGAACTTTGGTGCGTGGGATGTGTGCGCGACAGCGGCGTGCCAGAACCTCCTCACGCTCTACCGCAACTTGAACTGCACTGTGAACGGCCTCTCGGGCAGCGACATCGCTTTGATCACGTGTCCGGATACGATTCTTCGCCCGCGCTACCGCCACCATCACGACGATCATGGTTGGGGCGATGACGACGACGACGACGAAAGCAGCTCGGTGTGGAACACAATCGTTCCGATCGTATTTGTCCTGTGTGTGGTCGCTGTCGGCATCTTTGTTTACAAACGCCATGGCCAGCAGATTCGCCAACGTCTCGGGTGGACGCCCAACCATTCGAACTCGTACTTTGCCGCTGCGACCGCCGCCGACGCCGACGTCTCAAACATCAAGTTTGCGGTGGCGAGTCATGGCACCGCTGTCCTTGTGCCAACAGTGCAACTCCAGGGCATCCAAAAAGATGCGCCGGCCGCCGTGCCACCCTCTTCCGTATAATCTCGAATACGATCTTATAACTCATCCACGCATTGGATTTGTCGGAAATCGCTAGCAAGGGTATTCCCCCTTGTCGCTAGCCAGCTACGTAGCTAGCTAGCTCGATCGATGGGTCGATGAATGCGGACACCAACACATCCGTTTTGAAATAAACTTGGGGTTTAACCTCGATCGATCTCTAATTGGTGGCTATTTCGACTTGCACAGCAGCCGTCCTTTCTATTTGCATGTGTCTTGCCTCTCTATCTAAATATACGACTCGAGATGGCGGGCCGGCAGAACCGTGCGACGGCAGCGCCCACAACTCAACTCGCCACCATTTGCATCATGCTTCGCTCGTTCCTTGCCCTTGCTCTCTCGTCGGCTGCGCTTGTCGCGGCGCAGGAGCTGGCGCACATGTCCATTTCGATCGAGTGGGCCGATCGCTCGCATGGTAATAGCACTACATATGGATGAGTTTGATCTAGTTTGTAGCCAACTCGGCGTGCCCTCGCGCCGACTCGGAGCTTGTGCGCCAGGGCCTCACCGCATACGCCTTCCGGTCAGCGAACGACACTAGCAACGCGTGCGGACACTGCATTCATCTCTGGACCAACACGGCCAACGTCACGGTGCAAGTCACCGGTACTGTCAACTGCTTTGCGATTTGATAACGAAAGTCTGTGGTGCAGATGTCGACGTCGCGATCGACAACTTTTTCGACTTGGAGATTTCGCGCAAGGCGTTTGCTGTCTTCCAGGACTACGCCGTGGCGGGCGCGATCCGCGGTGTCAGCAGCGTCCCGGTCCCGTGCCCACCGTAGTCAACCTGTCCAAGTTGTCTGTGGTACTTCAGTGGACGTCGTGTAATAACGACAACTTTGATATGTTTCTTCGTGACGCCTACAACTCAGCCTCCAGAAACGGGGGAAGCGGAGAGCGAGATCGTGGACAGCAAGCTCGCAGCGAGATATCTCGGCGCTCGTTGGTTGGACAAAGAGCTCAACCACACAATGTATCGCGCAGAAATTCGTTGTTCCCGTCGCGCCAATGTTGCAGCTCAAACCACTACTACGACCTCGGCACATAGTGTATCTGATTGGTGCTGGGCCTTTCCAATACCTCGATGCGAGTAGTCCATTTAAGGTCTTGATCGTCCTCATGCCGACGACTCGTACCCGAACGGTCGACACCCGATTCTAAAATGTTGTTGGGCTGTCTTGTTGAGCACTCGGTTGAGAAACGAGGTCAAGGCTGGCGAACTCAGCTGCCAACACTGTACTAGCAGCGCGACACGATGTGTTCGTCGTGGTCGGACTAGTTAGGCCGTGGAGCTACGGGCCACAACCCTACCCTACCCCCATCACCGACATCGCAAGCAAGCGACAAGTGCAAACAAATCTAGATTACGCAACCTTTTACGGAAGGCAGCGCACGATCTTGGCGACGAGACCGTCCATGTCGGCCGTCGTCAGCTGCGGGTGGCAGAGCGCAATGCGGAGGACGACACCGTGGTGCGCGGTCACTGTGTGCACAAAGTGGATGCCTTCGGTCTGGTTGAGGCGCTCCATGACCGCCATGTTGGCTGCATCATCCGCGTTCTTGACGCGGAAGCAGACGAGGCCAAAGTCGACTTGGCGCACAATCTCAATGCGGTTCGTGTCTGAGAGGCCCGACGCGAGGTACTTGGCGAGCGAGATGTGGCGCGAGAGCACGTCACGGAAGCCCTGGAGCCCCATGCTGTTGATCGTGCAGTACGCCTTCAAGCTCCGGAACGGCCGGCCGAGGCCGAGCTGGTAGTCCTTGAGGTCAAACACCTTGTTGTCGGCCGTGTGCTTGTTCTCAAGGTACGAGCCGGTCGCGTTGAGCGCGCGGACGACGTACTCTTTCTGCGTAAAGAACATGAAGCTCGAGTTGAAGAGGAGGTTGAACCATTTCGAGCCGTTGATCAAGACCGAGTCGACGAGGTCGAGGCCGCGGAGAAGCGGGCGCATCTCGGGGAGGATCGCGACGACGCCTGCATACGCCGCGTCGAGGTTAAGCCACGCGTCGTACTTGGCGGCGACGGCGGCGATCGCAGGCACATCGTCGATGGCGCAGACGCCGGTGGCGCCAAAGTTGGCCGAGACAAAGAACGGCAAAAGACCGTTCGCGACGTCGTCAGCCATGGTCGCCTCGAGAAGCGCCGAGTCCATGGCGTAGTTGCCACTCGCGTCATCGTACACAGAGGCAATCTTGCGCAAATGCGTGACGCCGAGGACCTTGCTCGCCTTCTCGACACAGAAATGCGACTGGTCACTGTAGTAGCTCACGAGCGCGTTGAGCGAAATGTCCGGGTTGGACGCGAGCTTGCGCGTGCGGGCGCTCACCTGCGCGACGATCATGCCCTCGGTCGCGCTCGGCTGCATGACGCCACCGCCACTGCTGCCCCACGACATGGTCTCCGGCAACTCAAAGGCTTCGCGGAGCCAGTCCATGACGTGGAGCTCGAGCTCGGTCGCGGCCGGCGAGCAGATCCAGTTGAAGCCCGGCTGGTTCATCGCGCTCGCCATCATGTCGCCAAGGATCGCGGACGGCGCAGCCATGGACGGAAAGTACGCATAAAAATCGGGGTGCTGCCAGTGCGTCATGCGGGGCACGACTTGGTCCTGGACGTCGGCCATGATCTGCGACCACGCGACCGGGTGCTCGGGCGCCTTCTTGGCCAACGCGCGGCGCAAGTCGCCCGGCTGGCACGACGGCAAGACTGGGATCTGGCGCGCGTGCAGCTGCTTTTGGTAGTCGACGATAAAGTCGATGGTCGCGTGTGCGTTGGCGCGGAACTGCTCCCAGTCGTAGTCGCTCGGGATCGGCGGCAGCTCGGGCGTCGGGGTCATGCTTGGGGGATGGAGTGCAAAAGGCAAAGTGATCGATCGTCACCGCGTTGAAGTTGCCGATATTGTCTTTTTATTGCAATATTTTAAGTGAATTAAGTATTTGTATGCAGATGCGTGAAATACATTGGATGCGTGGCAGGGGCTGGGGTCGCGCGCCTAATTAGGCTTTGTGTTGTGCACTAGGAGACGCGCCTTGTTTGGATATAATAGTGTGAGGAAAGCATCGACATCGCTTGGAGCCATGGAACAAACTGTTTTCTTGTCGGCAAAGTATGCTAGCATACTATAGTAGACATACATTTTGTGCACGTTGCTGTTCTCGCTTGTTGGGAGGCTGTGTGCGAGCTCGCGCCGGGGCGCTCCCGGGGGATGATATAACTCTATATAAACATACGTAAATAGTGTCATGGAGCTTGTAATCGGAGCCAAAATGATTATTCCTGATTTCAAATCGACACATGTGGCGGCGATCTTGGTGTCCTCGAATCTGCAGCAAAACGAGCCTCGTCCGTCGAGAGCGGGACGCATGTGAAGCTACCACGACAGTCTTATACTCAGTTGCATCATAATCGATGACATACGCGACCTTGAAGCGCAGCGCTACCGGTTGCGAAGGTCATCCTGTCGGTTGACGCCCTTCTCGCACTGCAACACATCATGGCATGGCCGATGATGGCGGTCGCAGATGGTGCCATCATAGATCACTGGATGCTTCTGTAAAATAAGTTATGTGACTGGATTATCGCATCTCTAGAGATCTAAAGAACGATGCCGTCATTCCACCGGCGCACGAGCGATGATGGCGGCCACAGACGGTGCCGTCATAACTCGAGCGACTTTGGCGCTCACCGCTGACGCTCCATGCAGACAATGGACGTCAAGTACCAACGCCCGCGATTCGAATGCGCAAGCGGCCTCCTTCTTTGTGGCTTCATGCCGCACCAGGGAACACGAACGAACGCGACTCGCTGCGGCGTGAACTCTCTGGAATAAGAAATCAGAGCAGCAACGCAGGACTGAGCGCATTCTCCTCCACATGCACTGATATCATGCTCCTTCTAGAACCGGGTTCCACGCATCGACAGCCCTTATACTTCTGTCACCTCGAACGTCGCATCAAAAGTCGGCTCGCATCGTCCTGAGCACGTATGAGCTTTTCCGATTCCTCTCTCGCGTAAGCCACTAGAGAGGCTTGAGAGCGCGATCGTCGCACGACCTCTCTCCTGTGTGCTTAGCCCGCACGACCGATGATGGGCTATCACTCCTCGTCGGTCCACACCGCATGGCCAAGTATCCTGCGGTCTCCGAATCGAGCGATCTAGCAGCTACGGACTACTATAGTATGCCGTTTGTACTCCACCAATATAACCAAATGCACAAAAACAAAAGAATCTAGATAGGTTTACATTTGGGATTTTTCAACATCGAGGCGTTGTTGGAGGCCGACAGCGAGGTCCGACGCAGTCGGGCGCATGCTTGGGTCGTTGGACATGCACTGGAGCGCGAGGACGCGGACCCACGGCGGGCAGTCGGACGAGAAGCTCGGCTTCATCGTGCCCCGGAGCACCTGTGCAATGAGGTTGGCGTCCGAGAGCATCTTGCCTTTGGCGTCGCGCTTGTCGAGATATGGGATTTGGTGCGTATCGAGTTCGGTCAAAATCACGCCAAATGAGAAAATGTCGGCCGCGACGCTGTAGTGACCGTCCTTGAGCACTTCGGGCGCCATCCAGCGGTACGTGCCGACGCCCCGGGTCATGGTCTCGGTCGTCTCTTCGCGCGAGACGCCAAAGTCCGAGAGCTTGGAGCCCATGTGCGAGTCCATGAGGATGTTGCGCGACTTGAGATCACGGTGGATCACGGGCAGCTCGTGGAGGTATACGAGCCCCTTGGCAATGCAAAGGGCAATCTCGAGCTTCCACGCCCAGTTGACGTGCGCCCGGGGATGCACTTTGAGAAAGTCCTTGAGGTCGCCCGAGTCCATGTACTCCATGACGCAGCGAATGCGTGACGGATGCGAGTAAATGGCGCCGTAAAACCGGACAATGTACGGCGAGTCGAGACGCGCCATGAGCTTGATCTCGTCGATGAACGCTTGGATGACCTTGAGCTTGCGCTTCTCCTTCAAGACCGACTTGACCGCGACCGTCGTCTCCCCGAGGTACGTACCGAGGAAGACCTCGCCAAACGCGCCTTTGGCGACACGCGCCGTGATGACGACACTGGCTTTTGGTAGCCGCCATTTCGGATCAAAGTCATCAAGCGCATCATCGACTTCGGAGAATGCCGAGTCGGTGACGTTGGGCTTGGGAGGCTCGGCTGACGACGCTCGGTGGCCTTGATTTGGTACGGTCGGCTTGTCCGAGTTGTTGGCCGAATTCTGGGACCCGGGTTTGTTGTGGTCACTGCCATCCTGCTGGCTGCTGCTCTTGATTTGACTGCTACGGTTGTGGTTGTTGCTGTTGTTCGTGCTGTTGATCGTGGTTGGCTTGCGCGGTGACATCATTGGCGGGCGGCTCGAGGGCGGCGAGAGCGTCGGTGGGCCCATGATGATATGGTCGTCGAATGGTTGCTGGAGCTCGTATACCTGCGGTAAGAGGCCTTGCGACCGCGCGTGCTTCTTACGCCAATAGAGAAAGAGACCGAGAAGCGTCAAGACGATCACGACTGTGCAGACGATCACGACGACGATGAGCGTCGAGGACGACGTGGTGTCGTCGCCTGCCATGATGGGTCCAAAAGTGACCGAGTAGCCAGCAATTACAACGCCATTTGTACATCCTGCGACGGCCAATCCCCGTCACCATCCGGATACAAAGATACGCCATTTCCCAAGAGTGTGCTCGTGCCCGAAACAAGCCCACCGTCGCAGCCATGTTCACGCAGTTTAGCGATGCTACACACGGAGCGCTGCTTGGATCGTGGACGCAACGCAGTGCGCAACTACTGTTTGCATGCGCAGCTGGCATGGACTACACACCTCCAAAGACCGTTTCCATCACCAAGTACCGTCGGGTATTCTAGGTCCGAGTCTTTGAGCTGAGCCTTTCGGTGCTTTCCATCTTCTGCTACGGTACTACCAGGGAAATTCCCTTGGGTACTACCGTCCTACTGATTGCTCTGCCGTTGCGAGAGGTTGGCGCTGGCGCCACTCGCCACGTGGCCAGCGAAGTTGACCTTCTTGGCACCCGCGGTTTGGATCGCGGTGCGACTGCCCACGCCGACGTCAGAGGGTCGTATGACACCACATTGTTGTGCCTGAATGGCGACCGTGCTCTCGTAATACTCGAACGAAGCTCTGCATCCGCATTGTCCAGCTCCTGTCGTCCTGTCCAGGTCCAGGCGATGCGACACGGTGGAGAATATGCGTATCCGGATGGTCAAGTGCAATGTGACAACTGGCTCGACGGGCGACGGCCTTTCTTTCGCCCATGTGAATGAGAATCATCACCTCACGAGGAGCATTTCGTCAACCATACCCAGTTTATACACTACACGTCCGACTGCAATGATGCACAGTGCAGATGCGAGCGCAGTCAGCTGCGCGGTCGGTCGGCGCCAATTTTCATGCGCGCGCGGTCGCCGACCCATCCCACTCGTTTTGCGAGCAGCATCAGATTCCGCATCAGGGTCAGGGTCGCCTCTCTGCACTGGACGCAAACGTCGTCGGACGCTTTGCGAATGCACATCGGGATCGTGCAAGGAAGAAAATCTTCGACGCATCACGTGGCGCTTCTGCGCGCGGAGAATACGACCAAGACAAATAGACTGTACGAGAGCGCCGTCGAGCTACAACCTTACACGCTCCGTCATGCGTCCTTGCCGGGTCGACTCAAGCAATCGGTCGGTGCCTCGTGTTTTGGCAACGTTGGTTGACCGTGCTTTCGTACCCGGCCTCGTCTTGGCCATCGCAAGTCGGAGTGGCCTAGGGCTGCGCGGGGTCTAGTTCTCGCACGCTGCTATTTGAGCATCAATTGCGTTGATTCTCTGTCTGCATTGGTCAAGACATGGGCACCTCAGCAACTTCTTTCGAGGCAGCTGGCGGTTACAAGACGGCCTTTGGTGGCTTTGCGACGGTCCACGCCAACTCGACGTTTCGCACTATATAGACGGCCGCGACGAGATACCGATATGCTAAAGTTTGTAGTCAAACGGCCTAGGGATCGGATATCTTTCGGCGCCAAGGGTTGCACCGAGGGGGCGCCCACAACACCAAGCTGGCCATCATTTCAAAAAAGGACTCCGAGTCGGTACCATGGTGCAAGCGTCCTTCGTTGTCGCAGTGATGGGCTTATTGTCTGCAGCGACAAGTCTCCAGGCGTCGCCCACGTGCCCCAACACCTTTCGCGAGGACAAGCAATTTGGCAACGCGGACTGCGACCGCAACTCGATCTACAAGTGCTGCAGCCAGTGGGGCTGGTGCGGTGGCAC